GCTACAGGCCTCGGTGTCCACATTTCGCGGCTTCAGCCATTGGTGTCCCCATTTCGCGGCAACAGCTCTTGGTGTCCACATTTCGCGGCTACAGCACTAGGTGATGTATTCCATCAAAATAGAGACCGCTATGATTGTGTATTGATGATAGATTTGTGTGTGTTCAATGATTTACAGCTGCTCACAGCTTCTAAAATGTTAAAATATATTTTTATATTTAGTAGCTACTATTTTCCACAACGGCTATGTGTATTGAGACTTAATATTGGTCAGTGCATCAGCACAGTGTAACTGATCAAACTTCAAGTATTACCTTTAGTTTAAACATATTTTATTCAACAATTATGATCTGTCACCTGAATATCAATTATGAGAATAAATCAATAACTATTTGATGTCATTATTTAACTTTTGTATTCCATGAAAAATAAAGAAATAGATAAGGTCCTTAGGAACATATACATACACAACTCATATGGACATTAATCTTATGTATGAAGTGGTCTGTTTCCAAACAAAACAAATTTTAAATATAATTGTAATATGAATACGGTCCATTAATTTCTTTTATAACAGTGCATGATATTTTTGTTTGTTTAATCACAAGAACAGGATGGCACTTAGGCTGGTGAGTTAGTCATATATTTATAAATGAATGTTATCTTTTGAAAAGGGAATGGGGCACATATACGTACATTGACAATTCTTGCAGTTCTGTTCTGTTGGAGAAAACAACAACATGGAAATATCCTACCTTATGTATTTTGTCAGGGTTCTCACCCATGAAATAATGTGTAATTAGTGTGGCAGGACTTTCCAGAGCACTTTGACAGTGAAGCTCATGCATGTCCTATAAAGGAACATGAACCATTGGGAAATGTCAGTCAATGTGATGTACACAAATTCAAAATAAATGTAGATCATCATCACCTTTGGATCTGACATCCTTGATCATTTGATGGGTGTCTGAATATCCAGTCGGTAGAGGTTCTTTTCATGTTCCATGTGTCTCAGCCTTCTCGAGTGACAAGAAATGTCCCTGTATACATGATCTCCCCTTATGTGGTGTATTTTCGCATACATGTACTGCTGCAAACCTGTCCTTCCCTTTTATGCCATCACAGTATCCAACTTCATCAGCCCGTGTGTCACAAGTTCCTCAGTTGGTGTGCATAAAAGTGCCCTTGCCATCGTCACAGTATCCAACTTCATCAGCCTGTGTGTCACAAGTTCCTCCGTTGGTGTGCATAAAAGTGCCCTTGTCATCGTTGAACAAGAATTGCCCCAAAAAGAGTCGAATTTGCAATAAATAAACTCATTTGTCTTTTCTGGAATAATCTTAGGTTTAGAGATTGATATTTTCAGAGGCATTTATTATTTTGTTAAAAGTTCATAAGGATATTTCTTTCATAGACCAACGTCAAGACATCTGACAAGTTAGACAGAATGATAAACTTTAAACGTCCTCATTTCTGAGGTGTCCATACTTTTCAGATTTCTTTCTACTTTTAGGACAAAACATGAGCTGTCTACTTGAGTTTTGTTAAGAAAGCAAATACTTGTTTTATAATGCGAAAAGGAATTCCACTGATGTGAATTTTTTTTCCGCCCATCGTTCCACGAAATCCAGTTGAAATGTAATTTCTTGTGAGTTTGTACCGAAACCTGTAGGTGCTTTTGTATCCAGAATAATTTTGTATTACAGTTTTGTAGTTTCAAAGATACACATTACTTTTTGTATGAAAAGGTTAATTTATTATATCACTTTTCTGTCAAAACACTACAATTAACTTACGGTTTACCAATTTATTGACCCCTTCTTCGGTGACCGTCCTATCAGTCAATCAATTTGAGTTGTGCCAGTGTGGACTGACTCCCCTCAAGGACCACTACATTTAGGTAAGTCATATCATGAACTCGATGAAATGTTTTATCATAATGTTCAGCTCATTGTTTGTAATAAACATGAAAATTTTTTTATAATCATACAGATTTAGTTTAGTTGTCTTGGATACAATATCACCAAGTACTTTGGGTACAGTTTTGTTTTGGCAACAAAGTCACATAGACTCTACATTCATCCTGTCGTTGTGCACCTGGCCTGCTTCGGTTCTGAAGGCTGGGGAGGGGAGGTACATGTTTTAAAGACAGTCCTTAATATCCTACATTGTCCTTCTTGCAATGGCAGCCAAATAACAATATTATGTTATTATTATGGCATGTCAATATGTTATATCGCTCTCCGTTGCCGTCGTGTTCACAAAATAATTTCCAAATTAGCGTGGAATCCTTTACGGTTTCGGATTAAGACTTACACATTTGATGTTACGCACCTGTGTCAATCACGAAGACATATGAGAAACATAGGAGTGAAGACTGATATCTAGATCAATGAATAGTAAACAGTTGACGAAAAATAGTAAATCATGTATTTTCTCTTGAATTTGAATCTATTTCGGGATTTGTTATATGATAGCTTACAAACCTTTGCATATTTTGCTTTGATGTGTGTCAGGCGGTACCTGTTTCCGGTTTCAGAACTGACAGCTAAAATTGCAAGTACTTGGATTATCTTTCATAAACTGCATTTGTTTTTGCTATTGAATGGTTGACCTAGAACGTACATCAGTTAAGATTTGGAATGTCATCCAATGTTTGTGATTATTCGCAGTCTTTGTTCAACTAAATAAATTGCGAGTTAGGCTACGCCCAAACGTGTCACTGCATGACGTTCGTCGGCCTGTATATAAAAATGAGATAATTTTTCACAAAGTTTTATACATCCGTGTCAATAATTCTAGATAAGTAAGTTAGATGTAACAAATTTATTGCAATATGCATATGGAGTTTCTTTACCGCCGTTGCCATGGATGTACAAGTTTCATCCAATCGATGATGTTACAATTCAGATTGTTCACGTTTAGAATTAATTGAATTGAAATTTGTTATTTTTTAGAAATTAAGGAACTTGAGTGTTTTCCTTTCGTCAGCAAAAAAAACCTTATGATCGAATATGAAAAGTGAAAAAAATACTAAGAACATATCGGACTGCATGCCGCTCAACGTGAAGTGCCAAAAGTCATGAATGGCCGTTTCTGGTAGTTGTATGCCGATAAATTAAGCAGATACTTTCTTAACTCGCGTTGTTTTCTTTTTGAGGTAAATAAACTACTGAAAGTTTAGATATTTTGCAAGCTGGTCATTTATGCGTACCATACATGACTTAAAATATACGCTAAGCCTACTCGTTGTAGCGAGTTTCATGTGGGGATGTCCTTCGACTGTGCGCAACTCTGGATTCAACAGTAGCATTGCGAGCTTTAAGGTAGGCATGGAACTTTCTGTTTCACATTGTACAGCATTTGGTGATTATGAAAAGAGCTTTGTCGCTTTTATCCCAAATTCAGAAATGATGTCATTAAAATGGAAGTGATTAAAACTTCAAGTTGCAAATGTGTTCTTATTTGTCCTATATTTTCCAAAACCGTAATCGCATTGGGTGTGTTATAGGTCCAAACCAGAACTGAGGCCACTGAATCGGAAACTCTAATACTGTGTTGATGGTAGACTGTGGGACAGGACTGCATTTGGCACCAATGGGGGGCAAACATGAGTATAGGAAGGATCAGCTGTCACTTGATTTGGAAAAGGCAAAACTGATTCATGGTTGAGGCATTCAGGATGAGATGAAGTAGGAGTTGTATAAGTTTCTGCGTCTAATGCATGGGACCTAGGTATCACGGTAACATTGACACTCTGAGATCGAGAAACCATAAGTATAAACTATCTTGGCAGGTTCAACCACGTTCTGCCCAGTTCCTGTAACATGAATATGAACTTGCCAGCAGCTGGGCAGGCTACATTTTACTGTGAAACGAGGAAGTATCAAACATCTTGGCAAGCTCGACAATATTGTTTCCTGTACAAAAGATCACTTGCCGGTCTCTGGGCCTTGGAGCTGCGTCTCACTGTGACAACTCGACCACATTCCGTCCCGGTCATGTGTCACGTGGTCGCCGGTCGGCGAGGAACCTGTGTGTTAGTGGGAAATCTCGACCACATTCCGTCCCGGTCATGTGTCACGTGGTCGCCGGTCGGCGAGGAACCTGTGTGTTAGTGGGAAATCTCGACCACATTCCGTCCCGGTCATGTGTCACGTGGTCGCCGGTCGGCGAGGAAGCTGTGTGTTAGTGGGAAATCTCGACCACATTCCGTCCCGGTCATGTGTCACGTGGTCGCCGGTCGGCGAGGAAGCTGTGTGTTAGTGGGAAATCTCGACCACATTCCGTCCCGGTCATGTGTCACGTGGTCGCCGGTCGGCGAGGAAGCTGTGTGTTAGTGGGAAATCTCGACCACAGTCCGTCCCGGTCATGTGTCACTTGGTCGCCGGTCGGCGAGGAAGCTGTGTGTTAGTGGGAAATCTCGACCACATTCCGTCCCGGTCATGTGTCACGTGGTCGCCGGTCGGCGAGGAACCTGTGTGTTAGTGGGAAATCTCGACCACATTCCGTCCCGGTCATGTGTCACGTGGTCGCCGGTCGGCGAGGAAGCTGTGTGTTAGTGGGAAATCTCGACCACATTCCGTCCCGGTCATGTGTCACGTGGTCGCCGGTCGGCGAGGAAGCTGTGTGTTAGTGGGAAATCTCGACCACATTCCGTCCCGGTCATGTGTCACGTGGTCGCCGGTCGGCGAGGAACCTGTGTGTTAGTGGGAAATCTCGACATGCATGGCAAGATGAGCGCACGGAGTTTGTTATACAAACGCACGGTCAGGCTTCACATTTTGAGCACAAGAAGGGGTTCAACTGAGCGGATTTACAAAAGACCCTCTGTGGGTAATTTGCCAGTTTGCAAACAAATACAGTCAGTAGTCATCTTATTGAATGCTACCTAACTATTATAAAGTGACAGTGTTCAAGTCGGCATTCCTTTAGTTATACAATATGGTTGAAACCAAGAACTTAAATATCACCCCTAACATTCTTTTGTTTTTCTCCTAGAAGCACCTCGTTTGGGCAGCTGCTACGAGAATGTAACTGAAGCCGCCAGTCGCAATGGTATCGAGAAGGCATGTCCCAGTGGACTTCTGTTGAAGATCAACTCCGAAATCAATGAAATGAGGCCACTGGTTACTCAAAAAAGTAAGTGAAGGGGTGTCAGTCTAACACTGTTGTGTGCTCAGCGTGAAGGAACGGTGTCAGTCTAACACGGTGGTGTGCTCAGCGTGAAGGAAGGGTGTCAGTCTAACACGGTGGTGTGCTCAGCGTGAAGGAAGGGTGTCAGTCTAACACGGTGGTGTGCTTCGTGTGAAGGAAGGTGTGTCAGTCTAACACGGTGGTGTGCTTCGTGTGAAGGAAGGGTGTCAGTCTAACACGGTATTGTGCTTCGTGTGAAGGAAGGGATATCAGTCAAACACGGTATTGTGCTTCGTGTGAAGGAAGGGGTGTCAGTCTAACACGGTGGTGTGATTCGTGGGAAGGAAGGTGTGTCAGTCTAACACTATGGTGTGCTTCATGTGAAGGAAGGGTGTCAGTCTAACACGGTGGTGTGCTTCGTGTGAAGGAAGGGTGTCAGTCTAACACTATGGTGTGCTTCGTGTGAAGGAAGGGTGTCAGTCTAACACTATGGTGTGTTTCGTGGGAAGGAAGGTGTCTCAGTCTAGATCTAACACGGTGGTGTGCTTCGTGGGAAGGAAGGGTGTCAGTCTAACACTATGGTGTGTTTCGTGGGAAGGAAGGTGTGTCAGTCTAACACGGTGGTGTGCTTCGTGGGATGGACGGTGTGTCAGTCTAACACTATGGTGTGCTTCGTGGGAAGGAAGGGTGTCAGTCTAACACTGTGGTGTGTTTCGTGGGAAGGAAGGTGTGTCAGTCTAACACTATGGTGTCCTTTGTGTGAAGGAAGGGTGTCAGTCTAACACGGTGGTGTGCTTCGTGTGAAGGAAGGGATGTCAGTCTAACACGGTGGTGTTCTTCGTGTGAAGGAAGGTGTGTCAGTCTAACATGGATGTCTGCTTCGTGTGAAGGACGGTGTGTCAGTCTAACACGGTGGTGTGCTTCGTGTGAAGGAAGGTGTGTCAGTCTAACACTTTGGTGTGCTTCGTGTGAAGGAAGGGGTGTCAGTCTAACACTATGATGTGCTTCGTGTGAAGGAAGGGGTGTCAGTCTAACACTGTGGTGTACTTCGTGGGAAGGAAGGGATGTCAGTCTACCACGGTGGTGTGCTTCGTGTGAAGGAAGGGATGTCACTCTAACACTATGGTGTGCTTCGTGTGAAGGAACGGTGTCAGTCTACCACGGTGGTGTGCTTCGTGTGAAGGAAGGTGTGCCAGTCTAACACTATGCTGTGTTTCGTGTGAAGGAAGGGTGTCAGTCTTACACGGTGGTGTGCTTCGTGTGAAGGAAGGGATGTCAGTCTGACACGGTGGTGTGCTACGTGTGAAGGACGGTGGGTCAGTCTAACACGGTGGTGTTCTTAGTGTGAAGGAAGGTGTGTCAGTCTAACACGGTGGTGTGCTTCGTGTGTAGGGATGTCAGTCTAACTCGGTGGTGTGCTTCATGTGAAGGAAGGGTGTCAGTCTAACACTATGGTGTGCTTCGTGTGAAGGAAGGGTGTCAGTCTATCACGGTGGTGTGCTTCGTGTGAAGGAAGGGGTGTCAGTCTAACACTATGGTGTGTTTCCTGGGAAGGAAGGTGTGTCAGTCTAACACGGTGATGTGCTTCGTCGGAAGGAAGGGTGTCAATCTAACACGGTATTGTGCTTCTTGTGAAGGAAGGGATATCAGTCAAACACGGTATTGTGCTTCGTGTGAAGGAAGGGATGTAAGTCTAACACGGTGGTGTGCTTCGTGTGAAGGAAGGGGTATCAGTCTAACACGGTGGTGTGCTCAGTGTGAAGGAAGGGGTGTCAGTCTAACACGGTGTGTGTTTCGTGGGAAGGAAGGGTGTCAGTCTAACACTATGGTGTGCTTCGTGTGAAGGAAGGGGTGTCAGTCTAACACTATTGTGTGTTTCGTGTGAAGGAAGGTGTGTCAGTCTAACACGGTGGTGTGCTTCGTGGGAAGGAAGGGTGTCAGTCTAACACTATGGTGTGTTTCGTGGGAAGGACGGTGTGTCAGTCTAACACGGTGGTGTGCTTCATGGGAAGGAAGGTGTGTCAGTCTAACACGGTGGTGTGCTTCATGGGAAGGAAGGTGTGTGAGTATAACACGGTGGTGTGCTCAGTGTGAAGGAAGGGTATCAGTCCAACACGGTGGTGTTCTTTGTGTGAAGGAAGGGTGTCAGTTTATCACGGTGGTGTGCTTCGTGGGAAGGAAGGTGTCTCAGTCTAACACTATGGTGTGCTTCGTGTGAAGGAAGGTGTGTAAGTCTAACACTATGGTGTGCTTCGTGTGAAGGAAGGGGTGACAGTCTAACACGGTGGTGTGCTCAGTGTGAAGGAATGGATGTCAGTCTAACACTGTGGTGTGCTTCGTGTGAAGGAAGGGATGTCAATCTAACACGGTGGTGTGCTTCGTGTGAAGGAAGCGATGTCAGTCTAAAACGGTGGTGTGCTTCGTGTGAAGGAAGGGATGTCAATCTAACACTATGGTGTGCTTCGTGTGAAGGAAGGGATGTGAGTCTAAAACGGTGGTGTGCTCAGTTTGAATTAAGGGATGTCAGTCTAACACGGTGGTGTGCTCAGTGTGAAGGAAGGGATGTCAGTCTAACACGGTGGTGTGCTCAGTGTGAAGGAAGGGATGTCAGTCTAACACTATGGTGTTCTTCGTGTGAAGGAAGGGTGTCAGTCTATCACGGTGATGTGCTTCGTGTGAAGGAAGGGGTGTTAGTCTAACACTATGGTGTGCTTCGTGTGAAGGAAGGGGTGTCAATCTAATACTATGGTGTGCTTCGTGTGAAGGAAGGTGTGTCAGTCTAACACTTTGGTGTGCTTCGTGTGAAGGAAGGGGTGTCAGTCTAACACTATGGTGTGCTTCGTGTGAAGGAAGGGGTGTCAGTCTAACACTATGGTGTGCTTCGTGTGAAGGAAGGGGTGTCAGTCTAACACTTTGGTGTGCTTCGTGTGAAGGAAGGGGTGTCAATCTAACACTATGGTGTGCTGAGTGTGAAGGAAGGGATGTCAGTCTAACACGGTGGTGTGCTTCGTGTGAAGGAACGGTGTTAGTCTACCACGGTGGTGTGCTTCGTGTGAAGGAAGGGGTGTCAGTCTAACACTATGGTGTGCTTCGTGTGAAGGAAGGGGTGTCAGTCTAACACTATGGTGTGCTTCGTGTGAAGGAAGGGATGTGAGTCTAAAACGGTGGTGTGCTTCGTGTGAAGGAAGGGATGTCAGTCTAACACTATGGTGTGCTTCGTGTGAAGGAAGGGATGTCAGTCTACCACGGTGGTGTGCTTCGTGTGAAGGAAGGTGTGTCAGTCTATCACGGTGGTGTGCTTCGTGTGAAGGAAGGTGGGTCAGTCTAACACGGTGGTGTTCTTAGTGTGAAGGAAGGTGTGTCAGTCTAACACGGTGGTGTGCTTCGTGTGTAGGGATGTCAGTCTAACTCGGTGGTGTGCTTCATGTGAAGGAAGGGTGTCAGTCTAACACTATGGTGTGCTTCGTGTGAAGGAAGGGTGTCAGTCTATCACGGTGGTGTGCTTCGTGTGAAGGAAGGGGTGTCAGTCTAACACTATGGTGTGTTTCCTGGGAAGGAAGGTGTGTCAGTCTAACACGGTGATGTGCTTCGTCGGAAGGAAGGGTGTCAATCTAACACGGTATTGTGCTTCTTGTGAAGGAAGGGATATCAGTCAAACACGGTATTGTGCTTCGTGTGAAGGAAGGGATGTAAGTCTAACACGGTGGTGTGCTTCGTGTGAAGGAAGGGGTATCAGTCTAACACGGTGGTGTGCTCAGTGTGAAGGAAGGTGTGTCAGTCTAACACGGTGTGTGTTTCGTGTGAAGGAAGGTGTGTCAGTCTAACACGATGGTGTGCTTCGTAGGAAGGAAGGGTGTCAGTCTAACACTATGGTGTGCTTCGTGTGAAGGAAGGGGTGTCAGTCTAACACTATGGTGTGTTTCGTGTGAAGGAAGGTGTGTCAGTCTAACACGGTGGTGTGCTTCGTGGGAAGGAAGGGTGTCAGTCTAACACTATGGTGTGTTTCGTGGGAAGGACGGTGTGTCAGTCTAACACGGTGGTGTGCTTCGTGGGATGGACGGTGTGTCAGTCTAACACGGTAGTGTGCTTCGTGGGAAGGAAGGGTGTCAGTCTAACACGGTGGTGTGTTTCGTGTGAAGGAAGGTGTGTTAGTCTAACACTATGGTGTGTTCTTCGTGGGAAGGAAGGGTGTCAGTCTAACATTGTCGTGTGTTTCGTGTGAAGGGGTGTCAGTCTAACACGTTCGTGTGTTTGGTGTGGAGGGGTGCCAGTCTAACACTGTCGTGTGTTTCGTGTAAAGAGGTGTCAGTGTAACACTGACGTGTGTTTCGTGTGAAGGGGTGTCAGTCTAACACGTTCGTGTGTTTCGTGTGAAGGGGTGTCAATCTAACACTGTCGTGTGTTTGGTATGAAGGGGTGTCAGTCTAAGAGTATCGTGTCTTTCGTGTGAAGATGTGCAAGTCTAACACTGTCGTCTGTTTCGTGTGAAAGGGTGTCAGTCGAACACTGTCTTTTGTTTCGTGTGATGAGGTGTCAGTCTAACAATGTCGTGTGTTTCGTGTGAAGGGGTGCCCGTCTAACACTGTCGTGTGTTTCGTGTGAAGGGGTGTCAGTTTAACACTGTCGTGTGTTTCGTGTGATGGGGTGTTAGTCTAACACTGTCGTGTGTTTCGTGTGAAGGGGTTCCAGTTTAACACTGTCGTGTGTTTCGTTTGAAGGGGTGTCAGTCTAACATTGTCGGGTGTTTCGTGTGAAGGGGTTCCAGTTTAACACTGTCGTGTATTTCGTGTGAAGGGGTGTCAGTCTAACAATGTCGTGTGTTTCGTGTAAACGAGTGTCAGTCTAAGACTGGCGTATGTTTCGTGTGAAGGGGTGTCAGTCTAACAAAGTCGTGTGTTTCGGTAAAGGAGTGTCTGTCTAACACTGTCGTGTGTTTCGTGTGAAGGGGTGTCAGTCTAACATTGTCGTGTGTTTCGTGTGTAGGGGTGTCAGTTTAACACTGTCGT